GGCCCGGAGCCAGCGTGGGAGACACTCGGGACACTAGACAGGATCATTACTGGCCCGATCGGGCCCGATCGTGCTGCCTTGTCACTAAAGTTTCATTTAAGTTTGTCAATTGCGTGCAAATAGGGTGCTTTCACACCTAGACGTTTGTTTTGGAACCTGTCTCAGTTGCCCAGTTAGCACGGTTTATTGGGCTTATGAAAATTGCGCAATCATGCTTGAATCCACAATCAGTCCAAAATCGCTCGAATAAGGTGGTATTGGCCAGATTGAAATTAACTCTGAAGGGAATCAATTGTACTGAGAACGTAAAATGGCACAACAAACTAATGATGGGATGTGGTGGGGTGGTGTATCATTCCAACTGGCAAATGTGCGTTTCATGTCAAAAACAAAAGTGAAAGCATGCTGAAATATTACCCAATGCTGTTTATCCTGTTACCATCTGATCATTGTCTATTAAAATTTTATCTTATAACTTTTGTATTATTGTTTTCTTAATTTCTTCACTCACACCTCAAAAGAAAGACCCATATGGATCTGCTTTATGATCTGACTACAGTCTCGGTTCATCTGTTTTGTCTCTCTATAATTCAAGCCTTGGCTATAATGCATAATTCTAGCCAACACTTTTTTATTAGATTAATTATTTCATTAGATAGATTTTTACAACCCTTGACAACTGAAACGAGGCTATGTATGAGAAATTCTTTCCTCTCTGATTTATATTTATTGACGAAGTCTGTGGGTGACAAAATTAAAGTGGTTAAAGTTTTTTTTTCACATTTATTTACATCACAGTTATAATCTTTTAAATTGTCAGTTGTATTTAAAGAAAAGTTATGTCGAATGTAAACAGTTATGTTTGGCTTATGACACAGTATTAAAAATATGAGGCTAAGAAATAGCTATTGACTTCTTTTTTTGTTGATGGGGCCAGTGAAAATTTTCGCAGGACAAGTAAAAATCTGAACCAGTAGAAAAAATCATTAGCGTTGAACCCTGGGTGATCTGCGGATATGTACAAAACGGACGTGTATCTGAAAAGTACAACAAAACACACCTTAAATAACATTTTGATTTGCAAAAATGTGGATAGTGCCCTCTTGTGGAATTGTCATTTGAAATATGCAACAAACGTACATGGAGCAACACATTTTATGTGTTGCAGAAAGGTAGGCCGTGGAACGTATTTCCAATGAGCCTATAGGCAGATTACGGTAGCTGTTGGGATGTGTTTGTAAGTGCGGATACCGGAATCATTTTACCACAATCCTTAATGCTTATTTGTGTGTATGAGCATTGTCTTCGGCAGTGTGTGTGTGTATGTGTGTGTTTTTGTTTGTGTTTTATAGAGGGTTTGGGGTGTGTTCTGTATAGGTCATTAATAGCTGTCGTGTTTAATGGGTTCAGGAAACCAATGCAACACATCAGGCCTTTCCTCATTAATCCTGTCTCTCTCTCCCACCATCCCTCCAGCTCTATCCACTATACTCCACATTAGGCTGCAGGTCTAGTCCTAATTATGGACTCTAAACTCTCTCTCCGGTCCTGACAGTGTAATTCATTTTCACCTAAGCAGGACGCACATTTTCGATGATGGGCAGGGATATCATTACAGCACTAGACTGTTATAAGAGCTCTAAATGAAAGTGAGATGACTTTAATACGGTGTAAGTGTGAAAATGTGATTTTAAGTATACAGTCAAGATATTAGAATGTGTTGTTGTTGAGGAACTTGTAAGTGTAAGTGTAAGGAAGTTCATGATCGACAGGGAAAAGAACTGACTGTTAAGTTTTTTTTCAGCTGAAATAACATTAACCCCATTATGTTGGGGTTGATGCTGCTCTAGAGACAAATGTTTTTTTCCCTTCTTTTTTTTCTTTTTTTTTACATTTTGTCATCTGGTTATTTTTGTCATTGTAGGTGATCTGAGTGGTTAGCCAATTCAAGAGTTCCCATCACACTCAAACCTGTGACATCATGTTGATTATTAATTGCTTTACAGTAAAGGTCTCATTAACGTACACTACTCTTCTTTGCTTTTATTCATCATAGATGCCTTAGGGGGCACCTCTTATGCAAAATCAACTTTTGGAATCTGTTTGGACAGAAATATTAGTGTCCACAATAATATCGGAGTGATATAAACACAACAAATCTTTTTTTTATTATTTCTTGATGTAAAATAGGATCCAAATCACAAATTTGAGGCCCCCCGCTGTGTGCTCAGCGCTTGCTTGCTCACTCGGGAGCGATATTGTGAGACCACACACTCCTGTTAAAATTACACCAGAGTTACCGACCACTCACGCAGTGAAATTGTGCACAGTTTCTGCGTTCTTTAAGTAGTTGTCTCCTGGAGTGTTATAAATACCCACGCTCACCTCCCTCGTGACAGGGCGCAAATGAGATAAATGACGTCAGTACATAATAACGGTTATGATTATTACTGAACCGATACCGAATTGTCCGCGTCTGCATCACGGTGCACAGAAGAAACTATTAATTTTTGACACCCCTAATAAATATGTCTACAAGACAGGATTTGCTAAGAAACTGGGATTAAAAGATCTGTAACCACTAGGGCAGAACAACATATCGATATTACAATGTGTGTATCTGGAATAGTCACATCGCATAAGATAATATATTTAAAATTAAACTATATTATATTATATTATATATATATATATATATATATATATATATATATATATATATATATATATATATATATATATATAATGTGACCATGGTATTTTACATTTGATTGTTCAATTTTTGTACATGGATGTTGGTATATTTCCCAGAAAACCATATAGTAGTTTATTTTTTTTTTTATTGCTTGTAATTTATTGTAATTTATGCATATCCACAGCAAAGAAATCGTCCCAGTTGATCTACATTAAATGAAATGTTTCCAAATAGAGCTATTCAAATCGTCAGGTGAAATAATATTCATATTGCAGTATATATTGTGGCAAAAGAAAATATTGCAATGTCAGATTTTTTCCAATATAGTGCAACCGTAGTTCAAACTCTCTGTGATCCAACTGCTCTTCAAGAAACAGTAAGTGGTACTGTTTGTATTTTTTTTTTATAGAATTTTGAAATACTTTTTAAGCGACATAAACTACTGCTTTATAAAGTAACTATAAACAAGGATGCTTCAATCACACAGCAGGAATCCCAATAATTGAGGTTTATTTTGTACAGTAACATAGCTATAATATAAATATATAATATAAGTAATATAGCTACACAGCAGCATGCGACCCATTTGGTGGGCATCCTGTCACATTTGCTGTGAGTAGATGACACTGTGCATGTGTGTGTTTGTTTGTGTTTATGTGCATGTGCATTGCAACATTTGTGTGTGGCTGATTTATCATTGTAACATTTTTGTGTGGCTCTTTTGTCTTACTAAGGTCTTTGTGATGGGTCTCAGTTTCATCTAGTCATCATTTCATCGAGTTGCTTTGTCATTTTTGCTGTGTTTATTCTGACATTTGAAACTAGTTGTCCATCTCTCGAGTGAAATGTCCCGTGAGTGGCTGGGGAATAGCTACTTTGAATGGGCAAGGGGAACCAGCTCATTTTTATTTAAAGGCACAGGTGCCAAAACAGATACAATTCCCCCTGACCCCAAAATTGACATTTTCAACAGGGTGTAATAAATCATCTAATGGGTATTTTGACCTGAAACTTCACCGACATTGTCTGGAGATGCAAAGTTCTTAATTGGAGTCTTTCAAACAATATTTAAGGCTACAACAATATTTACGTTTCAAATGAATGCTGTTACATTGAGCTTTCTAGTTAAAGGGAAAATGTAAATATATGCTGCTTAATAATTTTGTGGTAACAGAAAATTATTCAATTTTCAATGTTGATATTAAGAATTATATATCATTATTTATATTATCATTACTACTACTACTATTATTTATTTATTTATTTTTATTATTATTTGCATTTGAGATGCAGCTTAACTATACAAATGTTTAGTAATCACACATGAAAGGCACAGACATATGGTGAGCTGATTGCAGCTTTTTGCATGCATTGATTCCATATGTGCCACTTCATAAGATGGTGACAATTTAGTCTTTACGTGACTGCTTGGATATCTGGAATGGTTGCAGGCACTAAGACAAAGGGATTGAGCAATTTCAGTGATGCTAGAGCTCCTACCTTGTTGCAAAGAGCAAAATGTGTTAATATTTGTCAAGATGACACTGTTAAAATCAATCATTTTGCATGAATGTTATAGATTTTTCTTCCATGTTGGCTTAAACGTTCTCCATACTTTTATCCTTGAAAATATCCACCTAATGTAGGAGGTCTGAAAGTGGGCGGGTTTGTAAATACATTGCGTAGATGGAGAAGTGAAGGAGCTCTCTCTCTCTCTCTCTCTCTCTCTCTCTCTCTCTCTCTCTCTCTCTCTCTCTCTCTCTCTCTCTCTCTCTCTCTCTCTCTCTGTAACTGAGCTCCTCCCAATATCTTGGTGCTGCTATTTCATCTTATTTACATATTAACTGTTTGTTTTCCATGATGTGGTGGGGGTTTGTGCTATACATCTAGTCTAGAGCACATGCATATTTCTTTTCTTCCTCCATACAGTACGTAAAAAGACTCTATTTTATTCACTTTCTCATATTTATATGGTCCTCATCTACTCTTTTGAATGAATATTAGTAAGTACAAATTGCTCAGAAAAATTGACCAACGTACACTAATTTTATTTTTAATAGACTGAAGCTTTGAAATGGCACTAGTTTAACTTAACATTTTTAAACAATTTACTCCTACATTTTCATAGCCCTATTGTTTATTTAGTTGTTTGGTTCTTCTTTTTATTTAGCTGCTTTTAAATAATCATAATAGTTGTTTTTTGAGGTCTTAATTTGTATTTCCACCAGTCCAAACTTCAAGGCCTTGTTATCTCTCTCGCTCTCTCGAGAGAGTTTTGTTATCTCACTATGTCACACAAAGCCTGTTTTCTAAAGTGCAAAACGTTTTATTGTGCCTAGTATACTGACAGAATTGAAAAGCACTTGCACACTATGTGCCACCTAGTGAAAATGATAGATTTTAGACGACTTTCAGGACTCTTGTTCAACCTTGCATTCATTTGACCTTGTAGAAGTTGAGCTTACTTCAGTCTCAAGGCTCGGTCTATAGCCACAGCTAATCTGTGTGCTGCTCTGTAAGATTCTTACCCAAAGCTGACCCACTTTTCTGAGTGATTTCAGACCGCTGATACAGTCCTGGTGGTTCCATACCTGCTATATTTCTTTTCATATTGAATGTTCCTCATTTCAAGTCAGTTATTTTTTATGTTACAGCTCTACTCTTGCTTTCATTTGTGTTTTGTATGTATCTGTGGTCACAAGTTTTTTGCAACGCACGAGCACAGTTGCACACGACCAGTGTCACGCTTTGGGAAAGAGAGGGCATGACCTCATTTCCCTTTGAGTCTCTATTTTCACTTCCTGTGAATCGATCTAGCAGCACATGAACTTATGCCACCTGCTCTCACGCGTGTGTGTGCATGTGTTTGTAATTGTGATTTATTGTACTTGACTGATCTGTTTTGACACAGATTAGCTGCTGAAAACATCTCCAGGTGTACTCATTCCTTCGAACACTTGCTGCTGTTCATTTCGTGCTCAGCAAGTATTGAAATTCAGTATTTTTGGGGTTAAGTTCTGAAAGTTAATGTAATAACAACTAGCACCCTCTGCTGGACCTCCTGTTTCACAATGAGCTAAAGAGAGAGAGAGAGTGAGAGAGAGTGAGTGAGCAAGGGAGAGAGAGAGAGAAAAACGAGTCCGGATTTTAACGACATCTCTAATATTCATGCTGATGCGTTTTGCTGCTTTGTGCTTTCATTTCTTGCCGCTTCGTCTGTGTCTCCTGCTCGCCGCATACAGCCCAGCCTGAGAGAGGGGAGGGGAACGAGGGAAAAGGAAGGGAAAAAAAACAAGTGGAAATAAGGAAAACAAGCTACAGAGCGTCCAACTGAGCCAGTACAAAAAACCTTTTGTGTTAGCAATCCTACCTTCGCCTGGGATGTGAAAGGAGGAAGAGGAACGAGAAGTCTTGTCGGTCTGTGAGTGTGCGTTTGTCTACAGGAGAGCGAGGACAAGAGAACGACGGCCGGGAGAGATCGAGTGTAGTTGTGCTCGGACGGGCGGACGGACGGTCGCTCGGACGGAGAGAATCGATGAGAGAGGGAGAGAGGGAGGGAAAAGAATAGACTGAGCCCAGCTGAGCGCAGCAGAATGAGAGAATCCTGGAGCAGCGTGGCTGCTTTATCTGTCTCTTCCTCATTCCCTCGTTTTCCGTGAAGTGCGGCTCCATGCAGCCCAGCCAGGGGAGGAGGAGGAGGTGAACAGGGCTTCTTCAGCCACGGACCTGCCGGGGGAGGGAGGGAGAGAGGGAAAGTGATCGAGCAAGAGAGAGAGAGAGAGAGAGAGAAGGGAGGAGGGAGTGTGCAAGAGAGAGAGAGAGAGAGAGAAAAAAAACGGCTAAAGGGCAAGGCTTTTGTTGGCGGTTGGAGAGAGAGAAGAGGGGGGAAAGAAGAAAAGAAAAAACATGTCTACGGTGAAGAGGCCGAGAGGACGGGTGAGTGAGTGAGTGAGCGAGTGCGCGCACGCGTGTGTGTGTGTGTTTGGGGGGTGGAGAGAGGTGGAGGAGGAGGGAATGATGGGGGAGGGGGCCGGCAGGAACTGAGCAGCTACAGGCTCATGCGGCAGGCTACACAATCGCCGCCATCTTGTGCTAACCACTTCTCTCCATTTTTTATTCTCTAGCTTGCATGCTAACGAGGAATGCTATATAAGCTAGCTTTTGCCGCTATGTCTGCTCCTCTTCCTGTTTCGCTTTTCATCTCCTTTCACCGAGGTGCCTTGGGAAGTGGCACATGTGCGCATCAGGCATTGTGTGGCAGCGCCGCATGGACATCTCAGTTTCAGTCTAGTTTCATTAAACACAAAGACATTGATGACTTGAGCGAGGAGAGGGAGAAGGAAATCGCCGTGGTGCTGGCAGCCTGTAATTTCAGTTATTTATAGATGTGTTACATAGCTGCATTGCTCACGGCTTGCTGCATTTCCCCCTCGCTCTCTTTCTCTCACTCACGTCATATTCTCTCTATTACTCATTTTCTCACATACGCTCTCCCGCCTTCCCCCTATAGCTGTTCTCCTTGTCTCCATTCCTGCTGATTTACCCCTTCATGCCTCCACTGGATTAGTGTGAATATTTCGGGAGCGCTCAATCCCTCTCGCTTGGCTGTTCGGCTCATGTTTAACCACCAAACGAGTTAGTGTTTATAACCCTCCCCCACGCTCTTTTCTTTTGTTTCACTCTTTCCAGATAATTCCCTTTATTTGGCTGTCAGAAAAACGCAGGCCGGCTGATCCGATTTTATGTTGCTCTCTTTTTTTCTTTTACAAAGCTTTATTGGCATGACTGTAACATCGCTCCGGCCATGTGTCATGTTTATAAAGAGCGAGTGTGCAAAGTAAAACCTAATAAAGTAAAAGATAAGATCTCATTCTCTTGCTTTATGGAGTCCAAACTCATTTTGTCTGCTTTCCAAGTGAGAAAGAGAGGAAGAAATTGAGGAAAAAAGGGATGTCAGCAAAATGAGCATGAATAATAAAAGTTGGCATGTCTCAGCCTGCTATATGATCATGCTGTGAATTATACATGGCGGTCTTATTATTTCATGGGGTGAGGGGTGGATAATGTGAATAGACTGGCTCTCAGGTTAAAGATTTTGACTTGTGACCTTTGATCAGTGTGCGATGTTGTTGTGATGAACTGTGACTTATTAACGTCTCTATACCATATTATATCTGTAATGTTTTGAGGCATACACTGGTTGAAAATTACAAATGTGTTTGTGTGTGTGTGCGTGCCCCAGTGGTTTGCCTGTACGTTTCCCTATAGCTTGTTGGCCAAATGATTGCAGAGCAGTGAATATTATGAAACCCAGGCATTAGGAACATTGATGATGCAGCAGTTCAAAGATGGAGGATTTCCCATGTTGTCATCCAGTATGTGTGGGTGGACTCAGGCTTACCATGCTGCACTGCTTCAGCTACAATCAGATGGGATCCCCAAGGATTTTTATCTTTGGACCTCCTCTTGCTTTTAGTTTGCTGGCGAGGTCATGAAAAAAACGGTGTGCTTATTAAATTCTCAACAAGTATTGAGCTGGGTAAAGAACGGCCCCAAACTCTTGAACCGAATTTGAGTTGTAAGCACATCAAGTGCTTCTACTATCTGACAGGTCTCACTGAAACGAGTGTTGTGAGAAATCGCACCTGTCTCTGTAAGAGCTCTGCAAAAAATAATCCAGGGGAGTCAGACCTGCTTCAGCCATCACCAAATTACAAAATCCATTGCCACCCCAACCCCCACACATTTCTAAAATAACTTTGTATGTGAAATTGGTAAAATAATATAAAGATCCATTTGGATTGACCCAACAGGTAGTCCTTAGTTTACTAACACTATCCTTGGCCCATTTATTTTATTAAACAATAAAAGCAGCAATAATTAAACTTAAACTTATTAACTTTGTACAGTGGTTTTACAAGTTTCTGTTTAGTGCATTCAGTTATCTGGGTAAACTTAAGGGGGGAGAGGGGTAACTCGGTTCGTTTCAACAGTATCGTGGTTTGTACTGTAGGGTGCGTATTTTGTTATTTTTGGTTCAGTTTGAATATTGTTGCATCTCTAATCTGCATGAAATGGAAATTTGCCTTCTCTTTTTATTAATTGCATATCATTGATCGTATTGTGAGCAATTCATACATGCAAATTTACAACCCCAAATCTGAAAAAGGTGGGACAGCATGAAAAATGCAAATGATAAACACGTGGTTAAATTTTGGTTCTTGCAACACATAAAAGCAAAAAATTGAAATAGTAAAGCATTCACCACTTTGTAATGTTGCCATTCATTTACACAAGACCTGAACGGCATTTAGGGATGAGGGACCAGTAATGAGGTGTTTTAGGTGTTATTTTGTCCCATCCTTCCTTATAACAAGTCTTAAGGTGGGCAACAGTACGAGGTCTTCATTTTCTCATTTTGCGCTTCAAAATATGCCACATATTCTCTATTGGAGGGCGTCATGGTGGCGATCGCCTCACAGCAAAAAGGTCCCTGGTTCGAGCCCCGGCTGGGTTAGTTGGCATCTCTATATGGAGTTTGCATGTTCTCCCCGTGTTCATAGGTTTAAAGACATGCGCTATAGGTGAATTGGGTAAGCTAAGTTGTCCGTAGTGTATGTGTATGAATGGAAGTGTATTGGTGTTTACCCAGTGATGGGTTGCAGCTGGAAGGGCAACCGCTGTGAAAAAAATATGCTGGATGAGTTGGTGGTTCAATCCGCTATGGCGACCCCAGATTAATAATGGGGCTAAGCCAAAAAGAAAATGAATGAATGAATAATTGAATGACTGTCTATTGGAGACAGGTTTGGATTGCTGGCAGGCCAGTCAAGCACATGTATCCTCTTCTTCTGCAGTCAGGACTTTGTAATGTGTGCAGAATGTGGTTTTGCATTGTCTTGTTGAAATAAACATAGGCATCCATGGAAAAGAAGGCAGCATATTGTGCTCCAAAATCTTTCTTTACTTTTCAGCATTAATAGTGCCATCAAGTGCAATTTATTTTTGCCAAAGGCAATGACACAACTGTATACCATGACAGACCCTGGCTTTTAGACTTGTTGCTGGTAACAGTCTGGGTGATCCTTTCTTCTTTGGTCCAGAGCACACAGCATCCATTTCTCCCGCCAAAAATACCTGAAATACTGATTCATCTAAGCACACTGTGTAATGGTCCATCCTAGATGCCTCCAAGTCCAGTGAAGTCAACGATACTTCTGGACACTGTTATTATAGGACTTTTTTTGGCATAGTACAGTTTTAACTGGGATTTGTGGATGTAATTAAGTATTGAAGTACTTGACAAAGGTTTGTCAAAGTAGTCCTGAGCCATGTGGTGATATCGGTTATAGATAAATGACATTTCTTAATGCAGTGCCATCTGAGGGATTAGAGATCACGGTAGTTCAGCTTAGGCTTGCACTGTTGCTCTTTACGCATGAAATTCCTCCAGATTCCGTGAATCTTTTAATAATGTTATGCACTGGTGAAGGTGAAAAATGCAAATGTCCTCCTATCTTTCTTTGAGGAATATTGTTTTTAAACATTGAATAATTTTTTCATGTATTCGTTGGCCAACTGGTGATCATTAGCCCATTTTTGCTCATAAAGAACTAGACATTTCCTGGATGCTGCTTTTGTACCAAATCAGAAATACAATCACCTGTTGACATCACCCGTTTTAAAGCAAATAATTTTTTTGGAATGTGAAGCAGCTCTGATTGACAGGAAAGGATGTGTATTAATGAAATAAAGTTGACCGGACAAAGCATGAAATATATATATATTTTTTATTGTCTTCAGTGAAATAGAAGTTAAAGTAAATTTAAATAATAAAAAAAAAATACTTGTGTTTTCCATACTGTCATAACTTTTGCTAATTTAGGGTTGTATTTTAGACTTTTTTTAAAGTCCTGAATTTGAATCCGGACCCATATTACAATTTATATATTAATCCCTTTATTGTAGCTAGCAAAAAGTTCACATTTTTATTGTTCCTGCAAACAACTGATGGACAAAGCCAAGTCTCTTTTTTCAATAGTCTGTTTTACTGAGGTGGGATTTGTATCCTTTTCCTTGTGTTCTATTTTTCATGAACTTTTTTTAAAGTTTATTTATGTTAGCAACAAAATGCTAAATGTTTTTTTTATATCAGGCAAAAATAACTTACTTGGCTTTGCCTTCCCAATGCACATTATAAATGAACCACTGTATAAATAAAATGATATGCTGTGTGTGTCCAACTATCAGCATTTGGCTGGTGACATCTGTTAATTTTATGTCCTTCCTGTGAATGACTTTGCACATAGAGGTTTGCTGTCATTTGTTTGGAGTTCTGGGATTTGCAGAGAGTTTCTTAGCTTGGAAAACATCTTAAATCGCCTGCATAACCTTTAATCGTATGTTACAGTTCCACTGTACTGACTTTGTCCTCTTAATAAGAAACCTATTAAAGTATTTACATCCGCATGAGTCCAAGTTTTCTAGGTCATAACTAGAGGAGTAATGTTTGAGGCTGTTGAATTCAGCTCATCCTCCTTTTTCATGTGCAAAAGCGTTCTCATATTGACCGCCAGACTAGTCCACATGGCGTCATGGTATCTTAAATAGTGTATTGTTCATCATGGGTTTAGCATATGGAATTACAGAATCCTGAAATAGAAACCTATCTACTGGCTTCCTGTATTGTCCTGCCTACACA